CTGCCTCCAGCCCAACTGCGGTTCCACAAGCCCACGTTCTATACAACAGGTGTGGACTGCTTTGGACCGTATGTTATCAAGATTGGCCGAAGAAATTAAAAGAGATGGGGCATCATCTTTAAGTGCATGACCACCTGGGCTGTACACATGGATCTACTGTCGAACATAGATACCGATTCGTTCCTGATGGTTTTGAGATGCTTCATCACTCACAGAGGAAAGCCCTTTGAGATCTTGTCCAATCGAGGAACACATTTCAAGGGAGGAGAGCAAGAACTACAAGACTCCTTCACGGCTCTCCACCCACAGCTCCAGGAACAGTTGGCCAGTCAAAAGATTTACTTCGCCTTCAACCCACCAAGTATGCCTTACTTTGGAGGATGTTGGAAGAGGGAGATTATATCCATCAAGACTGCCCTGCAAACCACCCTTGGCGTGCAGACCATCTCCAAAGAGGTGCTGAGGACTGTCCTAATCAAAATCAGCTGCAGGATGGCGCCGGCTATTATGTGTGTTTTTTCGCATTATTTGTAATTTATTTTGTACATAATGTTTCTGCCACCGTCTCTTATGACCAAAAAGAGCTTCTGGATATCAGGACAGCGATTACTCACCTTGTATTGGAGAATGCTATTCATTGACTACAGCTGAGCGTTCAACACCATAGTGCCCTCAAAGCTCATCACTAAGCTAAGGATCCTGGGACTAAACACCTCCCTCTGCAACTGGATTCTGGACTTCCTGGCGGGCCGCCCCCAGGTGGTAAGGGTAGGTAACAACACGTCTGCCACACTGATCCTCAACACGGGGGCCCCTCAGGGGTGCGTGCGCAGTCCCCTCCTGTACTCCCTGTTCACCCATGACTGCATGGCCAGGCACGACTACAACACCATCATTAAGTTTTCCGACGACACAACAGTGGTAGGCCTGATCACCGACAACGATGAGACAGCCTATAGGGAGGAGGTCAGAGACCTGGCCGTGTGGTGCCAGGATAACAACCTCTCCCTCAACGTGATCAAGACAAAGGAGATGATTGTGGACTACAGGAAAAAAAAGAGGACTGAGCACACCCCCATTCTCATCGACGGGGCTGTAGTGGAACAGGTTGAGAGCTTCAAGTTCCTTGGTGTCCACATCACCAACGGACGAGCCAAAGACTTGACTAAACCCATACTTTTCATTTTTGGGGACGGTGACCGGGACTGTTTCGGTTTATTTTTCAAAACCAGGCAGTCCGCAATCACATGACCCTTTTGGTGACAGTAAAAACATTCACGGTTTTCATGAAAAGGCTTAGGGTTGTCAGAGGAAAAGCGACCTGAACGAGGCACTGATGATGTAATCGTTCGGTCTTCAAAACGAGGCGCACCAAAGACAGTCTTGTGTGTCAAAGCGTACTCATCTGCTAACACTGCTGCCTGGGCCAATGTCACCACTTTCTGTTCATTTAAATGAACTATAATTCTATCAGGGAGGTTGCTTTTAAAATCCTCTAACAGCATCAACTCCCGAATGTCAGCAAAGGTGTTAGCTTTGCTGGCTGAACACCAGCGATTAAACAGAGACTCTTTGTCCCTTGCAAACTCAACAAAAGTACAGTGAGATGTTTTTTTGTGGTTCCTGAAGCGCTGTCTATAAGCTTCAGGCACCAACTCATAAGCCCGCAACACGGTAGTTTTAACTGTATCATACTGTAAACTGTCTTCCAGGGAGAGAGCAGATACTACTTCCTGGGCTTTCCCAGACAATTTACATTGTAACAGGAGCAGTCAAACCTCGCATGGCCAATGTAGCGCAGCGGCCACACGCTCAAAAGCAAAGAAATAGGAATCAACTTCCGACTCTCGGAATGGAGGGACTAACGCTATATTTTTACTTACATCAAAGTGGGCTTGATGATAAGCAGTTTGTGGAGTCGCACTGAAGCCAGCGTCTAGCTCCAGTTGTCGGATTCTCACCTCCTTTTCCTTTTCAATTTCCATTTTCCTTATTTCAAGTTCAAACTGCATCTGTCTCTCTTTATCTTTTTGCTCAATTTCTAACCGGGCCAGCCTCACCTTTAGCCTAGCGGTCCCGCTTGAACGACCTGAAGCAGAATATAAAGGATCGAATCGGGGCAATGTAAAGGGGGTACGAGCAACTCCTTCCTCCGTCCTGTCCTCCGACTTGGCATCGGAAGGTCTACCCGTCTCCTCTCCTGAAGCCTCCCGCTCCTTATCTTGAAATGAGAGAATTCGCTCTCTCATTAAACCCTCCCTGACTAGCACCAAAAGCTCCGCCTTTAGGGCTTTCTCAGGGACAACAATTCCATAATGGTGAGCAATAGCGAAAAGATCTGTTTTCCGAAACCTCACCAAACTATCAACAGAGGGCGCTTCAATGAACTTGGAGATGGCTGAGGCAGCCATCTTGTATACAGCAGCCTCCTGAATACACACAAACTAAACAAGTCACCCAAACTCACAACCTACCATCACACCTCAATCACAACTCAGAGAGCTCAGTGCAGCAGGGTCCGGTGGGTTTAATGACATCCCGGACGAGCCCCCATTATGTTACGCACGCCTCTCGGAAGAGGGAACGCAACACCCTGCTACAACTCAACTCTCCGTGGTGTGAAAGAAGTATGGGACTGTAGGTGTGAGTAAGGATGACAAAAGGCAGAGAATACCGTTAACAGGGAATTTATTCCTTCGCACGGTACGTTTGGGGTAAAGGGGCTGGACGGAACCAAAGCAAAGAAAGTAAATATCAAAGCCCCCTCTCCTACCTTACCTGCCTACCCACTACTTACTTAACTAGCACCACCTGGTGCACTAACCAAAATACAAGGGATGGTCCGCCCAGGTCTTTCCTAGTGTGCATAGACAGTCAACTTCTACGGGTAATGTATGCCCGCGGGCCTCTTGCCTATCACTCCCTAGGTGCCTTCCCCTTCCCCCTTGGGAACAAATGAAACAAAAATAGCACAAACTGGTTTACAACAAAACCTGAGAAAAAACTAACTCAGGACATTAAAGAAACTCTGAGCCACAAACTAACACAAAACATTACAATTGGTTCTCAGAGCAACAACAACACAGTACATACCAAACTCTTAGCATACAACCAACATGCTGTAACTCTCAGCAATTCTGGTTCCCCTTTTCTGCCTTTTCTGAGCAACTAGGGCTTATATAGCTTCAGGAGGAGTTGGTAAATTGGAGACAGCTGCGTCCTGACGAGGGCGCGGTGTCAGCTCTCCAATCATCAATGTTTTTCAAATCAATCAGCTGCTTGTTGGGGAATTTCAGGAACCCATTTCCTGAAATACCTACATGTAAATACACAAACCACAACATAGAAACTGGGGAACGTAACAGTACATATGACCTCAATTACCTCGACTAGTCGGTGCCCCCGCACATTGACTCTGTACCGGTACCCCCCTGTATATAGCCTCCCTACAGCTATTTTATTTTACTGCTGCTCTTTAGCTTTTATTTTATTTTTTTCTTAATTAACATTTTTTATTTAACATTTTTCTTTAAAAAACTGCATTGTTGGTTAAGGGCTTGTAAGTAAGCATTTCACTGTAATGTCTACACCTGTAGTATTCGGCGCATGTGGCAAATAAAATGTGATTTGATTTGAAATAGAAGGGATCTTGAACTCCAAGCCCTTGGGATATGTGTCCTCTGACTTTGCGGTTCCGGATCCATTCACTCATAACTCTCTTCTCATGAGGCGGCCAGACTCGTCACTACCCAGAGTCCAAACTGCTCAGTCGCAATAGATGGAGACACAGCCAGGTTCTAGATAATAATTTCTGTCACTGCTTCACATGGAACTACTTACCTGCACTTCCAGCCTGCCAAAAGTGGCACAGGGATAAGGAAGACCTTGCAGTGGGGCTCGTTGTGATGATCATGGACAATCAGTCTCCTAGAGCGCTCTGGCAAATTGGAACTGTCAAGTCAGTTATCCCTGAAGCAGACGGGAAAGTGAGGACAGCGGAGATCCAAGTCAAGGACAGAACCTACTTCAGTCCTGTCGCTCGGCTTATCCAGCTGTCCGCCCTTCCTCAAGAAGCTACTGACCCTTAGCTGGCCTGTCAGTTAAAGCAAATTCGTTCAACACATTTGGTGGCGGCTGTAAAAAACGGCCAGCTTTGTAGCACTCCCTTCTGGCTAGTTTAGTCAGGCAGTTTTCAGACCCTAACCACCTTTAGTTTTGTTTTTGGCCAAGGTCACGCCAGTCATTCTTATATTAGCCAATCAGCAGCATCTATTGCCAAGACTTCAGGTTAATGAATTTAGATAACATTGCTTTCCATCCTGACAAGCACCACCTTTTTCCCTTCTGCCACCTTTTTCCTCTTGTGGACAATGTCCTTGCTGTCTGACATTTTATTATGCATGTATCTAAAATGTAAGTGCCTTAAGATCTTTATGTCCAGTTGGTTTTGGAGCTAAGCCTATTGCCTGTTGTATTTTGCCATTTATGGTGAGCTTATTAGCTAGCTCGCGCTCCCGCTAGCATTAGCGCTAGCTTTAGCATCTACATTAAGAATGCATTAGTATGTTAGCATGCCTAGTAGCATTAGCCATTTGTTAGCATTTGTCATTTGTGATGATAGGCCATTTCCTTTGTTATACATGTAAATCGCTCATGGTGTTTATATTATGTAGACATTTCTGTATTGCTGTTGTTTATGTACTGGCCCATTAGCCTGTTTAGTAGGTAGATAGACTCTAGCCATGCAGCAGGAAAATATGCCTACGTTTTTATTATCGCCCTTACAGAACCACAATCTGTCAGTTTCAAGAGTGGTCAGACCTGTGTGTGTGTGTGTGGATCCTGTCTGTCCATTAAAAACCCCTAAACTGGAAATACTATCTCCTCATTGTTCTGGATGGACATTGATGTAGTGGTTACTACCGACCTGGAAACCAGCACCTGAGTTTTCTATCTATTTGAATGGTCCTTCGATTTTGTAACCAACCCATATTTTTCAATCATAGTGAGATAAAATAGTCACTCACAGCCAAGTCACTGTAGAGGTGGTCTCCAAAGTAGAGCACACTGGACCCTCTCCAGCCTGTCAGCCTCAGGAAGTCGTACAGGTTCCCCTGAAACACAAACTAAAGGCCTCAGTATTCTGTTCAGGGGGAGATGAGGTCATAAGCATTGTAGTTTAATATTGAAGGTGTACACACTTGTTTGTAGATCTGTCCTTTGTCCAGACTGTTTATTTTGTCCCACTGGAGGTCACCATTTCCATCCAGGCGTCTAAATGGTCTGTAAGAGGGGCAACATTGGAGAGCAAATTGAATATGGTCCCAAAAACACATGACAACCTGGTCCACAAGAACACTCCATACTCACTTGACACAGTCATTGAAGAAGTGTGGTTTGTCTGCCTGAACAATGACCACGTCAAAGAAGTCCCTCCAGTCCTTCCCAACCATGTACCTCATGCCTTTATCCCTACAATCAGAGATATCAGAGAGTGACTGGACCACAAGAGGCTGCTGAGGGGAGCACAGCTCATAATAATGGTTGGAACAGAGCGAATGGAATGGCATCAAACACATGGAAACCAGGTGTTTGATGTATTTGATACCATTCCACTCATTCCACTTCAGCCATTACCACGAGCCCATGCTCCCCAATTAAGGTGCCACTAACCTCCTGTGGATTGGACCAGTCTTACAGAGAAAGCAACAGAGCTGTTGCTCATTCCATTCACCAAAATATACTGTGCTTCTGCCTACTCTTCCCATTCATCAATACTGTTCTGACTGAATGATACGTTAGTGTTTGTGCTTCCTCTGTCAATCATGTTGGGTAATCATGAAAACAAGTAATTGACATTAGGAGAATGACTCATCCTCTTCCACGATCCATTGTAATTATGGTCAATTTACCAACCAATCAATACGTCATTCAAACCAACATGACCATGGGTCTTCATCCTCAGATGGACACTCACACAAAGCTGAAGGGGCTGTTGGTGATGAGGAACAGTTTCTTCCCGTGGCTGACCAGGCGATGCAGAACAGCATAAGTCTCATCCCCTCCCAGAATGTACTTCTCTATGGATGGAAAATGAAGGGAACATGTAACAACATTAACAACAACAACAACATGTCAAACCTTTACATTCTGCAGGCTTCTGAAAATAAGGTATTTGACTAGACACCACAAACAGAATCCAACAATGCTCACCCAGATCTTGCATGATCCATTTATACATGTCGCCGTTGATGTGAACCATTCCAATGGCTTCCTGAGAATAAAAACATCAATAAAAACATAAATGTTTCCATTATGCCTTTAGGGAGCGCAAATAATAAGTGCACATACATTTAATTACATTCAGTTACAGTATGTACCTATAGATAATGATAAATTCAACATGCTTATACTGCATATATTCAGGTTTTGAATCTCACACTCTCTACTCCGACCCAGTCTAACAGGCAGAAGAGCTTGGTTACAAAAAGGACGAGGGAGGATAAAGTCAGAGCTCGATCACTTCTGTTTCTTCTGGCAGACAAAGTGAATCTGAAAAGGCCAAACAGTAATCTAAACCCTTTGACCCCAGTGTGGAATGAGAACAGCTATTGTTCATTAGTCCACATGTCTGAATCCCTGGCAAACTCTCTAGGAGGAGGACAGACATCTGAACCTGGTGCTGGAAATCCCCACTGTGCTCAAACGGTCAAATGAACCTGGCAGAGGGTTTGGAAAACCAGCAAGACGGAGGGAAAGAACATTACACAAGGTGAGAAATGGCATGAGAGTGTGCTGAGACACTCACTGAAACGTCTTTGTAGAGGTGCTCAGGATCGTACTCGATGTCATTGGAGATGAAGAAATCATTGGCCACAGCCAGGAGGGTCATCTCTGGGATGGAGAAGATGTCCATGAACTGCTTAACCTTGGGTCCCTATGGATGATAAATCAGCTGCTTATTGTATGCTTATAAAAAAGATACAGTATTACCATGACTCTAAATTGGGTGTGATTAGAGAAATGCGGTTACAAAATGGACATAAAATACTTACAGTGCTATGAAAAAGTATTTGCCCCCTTTCTAATTTTCTCTACTTTTGCATATTTGTGATACTGAATGTTATCAGATCTTCAACCAAAACCTAATATTAGATAAATGGAACATAAGTGAACAAATAACACAACAATTACATATTTATTTCATAAACAAAGTTATGCAACACCCAATTCCTCTGTGTGAAAAAGTAATTGCCCCCTTACACTCAATAACTGGTTGTGCCACCTTTAGCTGCAATGACTCCAACCAAATGCTTCCTGTAGTTGTTGATCAGTCTCTCACGTCGCTGTGGAGGAATTTTGGCCCACTCTTCCATGCAGAACTGCTTTAACTCAGTGACGTGTGGGTTTTCAAGCATGAACTGCTCATTTCAAGTCCTGCCACAACATCTCAATTGGGATTAGGTCTGGACTTTGACTAGGCCATTCCAAAACTTTCAATTTGTTGCTTTTTAGCAATTTTCATGTAGACTTGATTGTGTGTTTTGGATCATTGTCTTGCTGCATGACCCAGCTGCGCTTCAGCTTCAGCTCACAGACGGATGGTCTGACATTCTCCTGTAGAATTCTCTGATACAGAGCAGAATTCATGGTTCCTTCTATTAAGGCAAGTCGTCCAGGTCCTGAGGCAGCAAAGCATCCCCAAACCATCACACCACCACCACCATGCTTGACCTTTGGTATGATGTTCTTACTGTGGAATGCAGCGTTTGGTTTTCACCAGGCATTACTGGAACCATGTGGTCACAGTAAGAACATCATACCAAAGGTCAAGCATGGTGGAGTTCTGCATGGAAGAGTGGGCCAAAATCCCTCCACAGCGACGTGAGAGACTGATCAACAACTACAGGAAGCATTTGGTTGGAGTCATTGCAGCTAAAGGTGGCACAACCAGTTATTGAGTGTAAGGGGGCAATTACTTTTTCACACAGGGAAATTGGGTGTTGCATAACTTTGTTTATGAAATAAATGAAATAAATATGTAATTGTTGTGTTATTTGTTCACTTATGTTCCCTTTATCTAATATTAGGTTTTGGTTGAAGATCTGATAACATTCAGCATCACAAATATGCAAAAGTAGAGAAAATTAGAAAGGGGGCAAATACTTTTTCATAGCACTGTATGTATAAACACTATATTACCACCCAATAATTCTAGCTCAAATGAGGCACCATGTTTAGAACCAGTTTCTTTCCAAGGAGGAAAAAATAAACCAGTGTCCACAGGGAGCGAGGCCTGTACACAGAGCTAATCCCTAATTTATGAAGACAGAGAGCCCAGTGCCAGACCTAGAGGATTGTGAGTAGTGGGCGTATGTTTGTGATGGAAGATTATAAGGCAGGGGAGGCATGGTGTGCTCCCTCCACAGTGCTGCATTCAATAGACGTAGAAGAATGTGAACCTGTGTGAAAACATCAAAGCCCCTGGCCCTACAGACTGAACCAGATTAACAAACACTACCATGCCACAGTCAGACTGTCAGACCACATCTAGAGATTTATTAAGATTTGTCCAATAATAACCTGTAATTACAAACAAACTACAAAAAGGCTTTAACGATAACATCCTGTTGCAGATGAGCTCTTTTACTTGATTAGTGAAATGTTGCTTGTCAGTTGCTAAAAGGGTAATGTGGTGACAAAAGTTGAGCTTACAATGCTTACATAAAAGTAATGTCATTTTAAGTAGGACCTCTCCTCATAACTGTTGGCAGCAGATTAAAACAAAATACCTTGATCCTGTTAATGCACTCAGTGTGAATATTTTAACAGGCAACTCTGGAGGTAATGTATTCTTCAAGGACACAGTGACTGACCTTTCCATAGAAGCCGCTGACCTGGTGCAGGGGGACATGGTGCGTCCCCCCATAGAGCCTCAGGACCTCCTCATCTGGAACTGGGTTCAGCCCCCTATAGGGTCAACACAGTTTTAGTACACTGACTGACATTGCAGTGTTATTCACCTACCCCATAAACAGAACTCACCGATACACAGTCCCCAGCTGAATGTAATGGAAAGCATCTATCTTCATCAGGAGGCCCTGGGGGAGGACAAAACGTACAGTACTGTAAACCCACTGTACCTTGAGATTGGATGTTTAAAAGAGGGGAAGAACTGCTTTATGGGGTTTACCTTTTGAATATCATAGTGAAGACCCCGTGCAGCAAAGTTGGGGATGTAGTCATATTTGCGGATACCTTCAGGGTACTGTCAAACAACAGCAGAAGATTATCAGATTAGAATGGTCCACAACTGTACTCACACATGGAATTATCAGGAGTACTGAATATACAGTATGTGCTAGTCTATTGGCGGGTTAGTTAGAGCACAAACACCTTGAAGTGCTCGATGAGGAAGTCTCGGGCAGTGTTGTAGATCATAGTGTTGAGGGTATCGGAGTAGAGGGCCAGGGTGTAGTCATAGTCAAACCCATAGATGTCCACCTCCGCTAGGCTGACCTCGTTGTTGGCGTAGATAGTGGAGGAGTTGAGCAGGTTACACACACTTGGTGGGATCAGGTCTGGAAAGAGACAGCACAGAGACATAATAGAGAGACAACATAATGGACATAACAACAGCTTTATAAGACTCCTGAACAGCTGATGCTAGTCTCTGTTTATTATCTATGCATAGTCACTTTACCTCTACCTACATCTACATATTACCTCAATTACCTCGTTTAACCTGTGCCCCCGCACATTGACTCTGTACCAGTACCCCCTGCATATAGCCTCATTACTGTTATTTTATTGTTGCTCTTTAATTATTATTATTATTATTATTATTATATATATATATATATTTATTTTACTTCAGTTTATTTAGTAAATACTTTCATAACACTTATTTTTCTTAAAACTGCATTGTTGGTTAAGGGCTTGTAAGTAAGCATTTCACTGTAAGGTCTACTCCTGTTGTATTCAGCCATGTGACAAATACAATGTGATTTGATTTTTGATTTGATACCATTTAGGGACTTCAATGTTAAGTACTAATCTTTTTTAGGTGCTTCCAGTTGTACAGCAGGAGTGCACTGTACCTGAAGCAAAGCACTGAGTTTAGTGAGGCAAGCAACAACAGGATTACAGGGAAATCATAGAGGGTTTGACATTTGAAATACCGAACAGGATTTAGAGGCAAATTAACTTTTGCACACACAAAAAAACAAATAGCAGAATGTGTTTATAAACTAGATCACTGGACCTAAAAGTTGAGAAAAATCCCTGATTTTCATGCGAATATTCTCAAATCTGCATAAAAACCATATGCGCATTTTCCCACCAGAGATGTTTCCATCAAATTGACACGTTGCAGATAAAAGACTGTGCGTGATGATCTAGGCCCAGTGCACATACAAATACCTTTTGAGGTTAAATTCCTATGTACCGAATAAAATATGTTTTTCTCACAAAAATGTTTTGCGTTATATAGCGAGTGTGCCCACTCTGGTATTGGCACGTGCGCTCTAGCCAACAGCGCTATCTGCGATTTGTTGGCTAGAACGCACATATAGCCTACATGATGAGATTATTATTATGGATAAAAGAGCGAGATTATTATTATTTGTCAAGCTGCAGCCAAGCATTGATTATCATGTAATCAGAATAAGATCCTCGATATTTATTGGAAAGGAGCATCAAGCTCATCACCGTGCACTTTCCCCACCTTGTGAAGTTCATCATCATTTATTTAATCTCTAGCCTAATAAACTGCATGCTTTGGGAGGACCACACAACATGTCATAGTGTGACTCCAAGTTTACTTCGATATGATGGTTATTATATCAATATTTGCACATAAAAGCGTTTCCACTGACATTTCTCGCAGAATTCATTTTACCGACACAAAAAAAGCCCACCTTGTCTAGTGTACTTTGTTTTGTCGACATTTGGAACGTTTTTGAAAAATGTTTTTTCAATCAGGCCTGTACTTAACTCGCAAAAAAGTTTTTATGGAAACATGGTTAGTGTATATTTTTGTATTGCTCTCTGCGTGTTTACAACCCTGTTCTTCCAGAGCAATCATAACAGCCACACAGCAAACACACAGACTCACCAACAGTCTCCCAATCTGTCACTAAATCCCTGGAATATGACGACGGTACCATGTTTCATTTTGAGCTGTTTATGACAGATAAGTGGGCCATGACCTTTTAGATGAGAGAGGAGTGACAGCAGCTGGCCTTCAATGTGATAGATGTACCATATCTAGCTTGTAACCTCATTCTCAAGTCTGTATCTCTCCTCTAACTTTGCCTCTACCTACATTATCAAGTATGATCCTTCTTATGTCTTTATATTTGTGTGCTGAAATAATGATGACAATCTAAAGAAGGACCAGATAATGAATCAGAATATGCAATCATATGGCTAGTGGGTAAATGAGAAAGAGTGTGTCAGAGACCATTGCCTGTCCTGTAGGGGTTTGGGATTGGTCCTGAGCTTGTTTTTTAAATTTAGCCTGTAGAATTACAGAGTATGTTGGTTACAACAATTTGGTTCACTTTCATTTTCTCAGAAAATACCAATGACAGGCTTGCCATCCAGCTGTCATGTTTGACCCACTTTCAAACCTAGGGAAGGGATGAACTGTTACAGCACTGGTCTAGAAGAGGATGAACTCATTCAATCCCTGTGCATACAGTAATGTCTTCAACCAGGACATGACAAGACTCACATCAGTAGCTGATGGGGAGTAATACTGAACCACTCCCCATCAGCACCCATCACTATAAGTGTATGCACATCACAAATGATGGGAATCCTTTGAAGTTTACCCGGCCCACATTGAGAGTATTTGTATTTTGTATTTATTAAGGAACCCCATTAACTGCTGCCAAGGCAGTTACATGACATTACATTTCATAACACTTTTCACAACACATTAAGTGTGTGCCCTCAGGCCACTACTCTACTATCACATGTCTACAATACAACATCCATGTGTACGTGTGTAGAGTGCGTGTCTTATCATGTGCATGTGTGTCTGTGCCTGTGTGTGTAACTTCACAGTCCCCGCTGTTCCATAAAGTGTATTTTTATCTGTTTTTTAAATCTGATTCTACTGCTTGCATGAGTTACCAGATGTGGAATAGAGTTCCATGTAGCCATGGCTCTATGTAGTACTGTACGCCTCCCATAGTCTGTTCTTGACTTGGGGATTGTGAAGAGACCTTTAGTCCCATGTCTTGTGGGTATGCATGAGTGTCCGAGCTGTGTGCTAGTAGTTTAAACAGACACCTTGGTGCAATCAGCATGTCAGCACTTCTTACAAAAACAAGTAGTGATGAAGTCAATCTCTCCTCCACTTTTAGTCATGAGAGATCTACATGCATATTATTAATGTTAGCTCTCCATGTACACCCAAGGGCCACACGTGCTGCCCTGTTCTGAGTCAATTGTAATTTTCCGAGGTCCCTCTTTGTGGCACCTGACCACACATCTGAACAGTAGACCAGGTGCAACAAAACTAGGGCCTGTAGGACCTGCCTTGTTGATAGTGTTGTTAAAAAGGCAGAGCAGCGCTTTATTATTGACAGACTTCTCCCCATCTTAGCTACTGTTGTGTCAATATGTTTTGACCATGACAGTTTACAATCCAGGGTTACTCCAAGCGGTTTAGTCACCTCCATTTGCTCAATTTCCACATGATTTATTACAAGATTTAGTTGAGGTTTAGGGTTTAGTGAATGATTTGTCCTAAATACAATGCTTTTAGTTTTTTAAATATTTAGGACTAACTTATAGTGTTGAGTCATCCGCATACATAGACACACTGGCTTCACTCAAAGCCAGTGGCATGGGGAATTCCTGATTCTACCTGGATTATGTTGGAGAGGCTTCCATTAAAGAACACCCTCTGTGTTCTGTTAGACAGGTAACTCTTTATCCACAATATAGCAGGGGGTGTAAAGCCATAACACATACATTTTTCCATCAGCAGCCTATGATTGATAATGTCAAAAGCCACACTGAAGTCTAACAAAACAGCTCCCACAATCTTTTCATCATCAATTTCTCTAGGCCAATCATCAGTAATTTGGTTAAGTGCCATGCTTGTTGAATGTCCTTCCCTATAAGCGTGCTGAAAGACTGTTGTCAATTTGTTTACAGTAAAATAGCATTGTATCTGGTCAAACACAATGTTTTCCAAAAGTTTACTAAGGGTTGGTAACAGGCTGATTGGACGGCTATTTGAGCCAATAAAGGGGGCTTTACTATTCTTGGGTAGCAGAATTACTTTTGCTTCCCTCCAGGCCTGAGGGCACACACTTTCTAGTAGGCTTAGATTGAAGATATGGCAAATAGGAGTGGCAATATTGTCCGCTATAATCCTCAGTAATTTTCCATCTAAATTGTCAGACCCCGGTGGCGTGTCATTGTTGATAGACACTTTTTTCACCTCTTTCACACTCACTTTACAGAATTCAAAATTACAACGCTTTCATAATTTGAAGAGACCTTTAGTCCCATGTCTTGTGGGTATGGACGTGTAGTGTCAGCGTTTGTAGCATGCATGTCATGCATAAGTTTGCTAATCTTGCCAATGAAAAAATCATTAAAGTAATTGGCAATATCAGTGGGTTTTGTGATGAATGAGCCATCTGATTCAATGAATGATGGAGCTGAGTATGCCTTCTTGCCCAACATTTCATTTAAGGTGCTTCAAAGCTTTTTACTATCATTCATCTTTGTTTCATAGTATAGTTTCTTATTTTTATTCAGTTTAGTCACATGATTTCTCAATTTGCAGTACGTTTGGGGGGTGGGGGGGTTTTATGACAAAGGACAACTGTGAGGTCAGTCTACTACTTACCGTGCACAAGCCGTTTCATCTCATTATAACGTGCCCATAAGTATGTCCTATGATCTGCTTTTGGGGCGGTGGAGGAGTACGATCGTCCAGACACTGTCAACGGCTCCTCCGGACCCTTCTTGCCCCCAACCTGATGTCTTTGAGCGGCAGGTGTAGAGGAGCAAGCGGCAGGTAAAGGCATCGCTGCAGACCTACAATTTGATTCACAGCTTTGATCTTTACATTTCTTCTCTCCACTTTTCAATTCCCTGCTTGTTGAAAAGTTTCTAATTTTCGAAGATCTTGAAAGAGGTGGTGTCCTGCTACCGTTTTGCCATAATGCACGGCCCAGTGTAGTACCCACTTTTTTGCAGGCCATTCTAAGAAAAAACGGCGAAACCAATGCGTAAAAATATATCGGTATAGTTTACAATCGCTTTAACGGAACTTTACCAATGCACTTGGTAACTGCTTACAGAAAAGAAATAATATGTAGATATGACAGGCCTCCCTTCTCACGCTACGCCCCCTGTTGTAGGGGGAAGGGCCTGGAGTTCATTGAACCAATCACAATAAATTGCGTTAATCCAAAAGGGATACGTCAGTAGATACAACGTAACGAATGAAACCAAGTAAATTGGCTACATAACTTGCTTCAAAAGTACCATTACCTCTGCTTCTGAATTGCCAAGTCATATTAGGGGAGGGAACTCGAAATAAAAATGTAAAAAAGGAAAACAGTTTGATTAGAATACCATAAACCCAACAATTACATACACAGACAGTGGTGTTGCTTTATTCTCCATCACACAATAAGTGGTGCACAGGTCAATAAAATTAACTTACTTTACATACACAGAAATTGATGAACACCATTTGGGTTCTATCGACACAAAATCAATTTACAGATAAGATACATCGTCCACATGATACATATTGATGTTGTATGATGATCAGTTACATTTAGAATACATGTACAAACACATTGGTGAAAGTGAGAAAATGGGGGATGAAAAGGGCAGAAAAATGTACAAACTCAAACTACTCAATGATGTACCAAAAAAGAGCCTATTAGTTTCCTCAAAATCAAACAAATAAAGCTCCATAATAAATGTACAACAAATACACTACACACATCTCATCAGTTCAACAGTGTTGAATCATACCGTTTATATTTTAAAATATGATTTAGCCTAAAATCAACTGACCGGAGCCGTAAAACCAAGGCACTATTACAAAAATTAGAACCACCAATAAGCATCATGTATTGACCTTCACTAAACACAGGACGGAAACCCAATTGTACGGAGTTGACTTCAGCCTTCCTTTTTTCCTTATTTAAATATTCAAAAAATGGCTATCTCCAAAAAACATTTAGGTTAGGCTACTAGATATGATCATATGTGGATCTGCTGCTCGGCTCCTGTCCTGTCATCCCATTGGTCCTGTACTGTATGAGGCTGGCAGTGTGGTCCTGTAGGGCCCCTGTAGAAGAAGGCCCAAGACCACTGCAGCTCTGCTGCCAGGAGAGAGGAGAACCATCCAATACAATTAGAATTAATAGATGCCTGTAGTAATAATTATATTTCTATGGAAACATCAGCCTCAGAGGCCCAGCCTTCACAGAGGTCCTGAAGAACAGATGTCTGCAGGGTCTTCAGTCTCAGCAGGAGTGATATCACACAGGCTCTGCTGAACTATGTGCATAGTTTGGAATGAAGCATGCTCATCACATATCTCCCAAATATGTTTTTGAGCTAGTTAATTAAACTGTAATATTAACCTTGACTGCTGAGACTACGGCTTTGTAGTTTCAAATCAGTGATATTGATCTCCTGACTGAAGGGCATGGCTGGTAGGCCGAAGCCGAACAGTGAGGAACGTCAAAGGATAAAGACAACGATTTAACAGTTACCGCCGGTAGAAAATGCAATGAGCTAAAGGAATAAATAAACATCAAGACAAGAGCGAGACAACACTCTTCCCTGTGCGTTTAGTATTTCAATATGGTTAGTAAGGCTGCCATTTTATTTTTTTATGCCCATGAAACCTGTGTTGACATGGGACACGTCCGAAATGGCACCCCATTCCCTACCTACTGCACTACTTTTCACCAAATCCCTAAGAGCCCTAGTCAAAAGTAGTGCACTATATAGGGAATAGGGTGCCATTTCAGATGGCGCCATGGTGGTCAGACTATGCAGTGGTTGTCTAAAGGGGGACGCGGTCTGACACTCCTAGGAGAAGCCTGTTTCCCGACAGGCTTTGTCATGTTGCTAGGCTAAAAGTCTTCACTAGTGTCAAAAGACATGCAGCAGCATCAAAGTGGAATATATAACCTTGCATAAATATACATCAACAGCAGGAGAACACAGCAGGACAGGGTTTTTCTTTTCAACGTTTTTCAGTTTGAAAAATAAAGGCTAAATAATACTGTGCCGGTCAGGAAAACAGTCCTTTACTTCATAAAAAATATTATAAATAAAATCAAAGCCTTTTTGCTTATTTTACACTCCTTTACTGGTTGCATGCAGGTAGGCATCTTTGGTCCATACAGAAGGTAGGGAGATATGTTAGGAGCAGCCAGTCCACTGGGTCTGATGAGTAGAGTAAGAAGGTCTGGGATGAAGAGGTGGTCTTGGGAGGAATGATGACTTCAGGAGGAAGGGAAGGTGTTTGTTTCAGGAGGTCAACATGGAGAATACGGTCCTTATGGAGGAGTAGGGGATTGGGGTGATCATGATGGAAGACTGGTTTCACCGCTGCAGAGACAGGGGGAGGCAGATGCATAAAAAAAAGGAGATTTAGTAATAAACCAAAGGACCAAAACAAACTGAAAAAGGATATGGTCACTGATCCAAACAGCATAGCAAAACACAACAATTGATTAAGACAACAGGTATGAAGAGGTTGGCATTTGACAATAGTTTCTGGGACTCTGTGGTGCTATTAGTACAAAACCAATGCTGAGGCTGGGTGTATTGCATTTTGCTTGTTCACTTTCTCTAACCTGGGCAAAGTTCTTGAGCACTGCTAAAGGTGTGCAAAGGTAGTGGTAATGGTTAAATCAGACTATTTGTGACTAGAGAAAACGTATGCTGATGAAACGCCAAAGTGTCATTGGTTGATTCACTGGGCTATAACCTATGAGCCCTGGCTGGTTGTGGGTGAGGATCACTGGTGCCTCTAGAACCAGGCCTACTCAAACTACTCTGTGATTCTTCAGTGTCTCTATGACCTGGGCCTGTCTGGTCTTTCTACCAGCTCTACTGGACTAACTGGGGGGAGCTGCTGTAAGGCACCTTTTGGTTGGTGCAGAATTTGAATGGGAAGAGCTTGTGGATGTCATCTCTGAAGAACTTGATTTGTAAACAACGTTGTGTTGTTCTCTACAAACAGAAACCTCCAAGGTTGGCTTTAACACTGGCTTAACAGTGCCCTGTGGGTCCAATATGTTGATAGAAGGGACACAGCAAGACCTGGAAGAGGCCAGATTCTCTATCGATCTGGAATAGGAAGACTTTACTCTGGTGGCAGAGGACGAGGAGTAAAAAGTGCAATTGGTGAAAAAGGTGCCTTCATGATTAAGGCCTGAAGCCCGTCTGGCGCCCCTTACAAGAGCACGGCTAAAGACGGCACTATCCAGGGTGGATGTCATCCTGTTCCTCCCAAGGACTCAGCCCTGTTCGGAACACATCAGTCACACTACGACTTCTAATGAAAGTGGCATCCCTGGGGAGCTTGGCTCCTCTGCGTGGTCGGGGAGCGGTACGGGTAGAGGAGGAAGAGGTATATAGGGGAGGAAGAGGGCCAGGATGGAAGGAGGTAGTGGTGGAGGAAGACAGGGTTCTTACAGGGCTGGTGTGGAAGCTGCGGGTGAGGGCTCGGAGGTGGTGGGTGGCGGTGCTGGGCACGCTGTTGGTGAGGACCGGGCTGGAGCGGGGGCTGTTGCGGCGGGGGCTCCGGCCCGTCTTGGTGCCTAGCTCCTTGGCCCTGGCGCGGCGGGGGCTGCTGCAGAGGCTGTGGGGAGACAAATGGGCCTCCAGGTCCTCCAGGCGCTGGGTCAGGGCCAGCTTCTGCTGGATGGCCATGCGGAGCAGGGAGTTCAGGGTCTTCTTCTCATCCTCTGCCGCTGCTAGCTGTCTCTGCATCTCATCCAGCTGGGTGACATACTGGTCACACCTGGAGACACATGCATGTTAGAGCAACAAATTAACACACATTTAGTAGACATGTTAGACAGATAAATGTGTTATATGAACTGTACACACAGACAAAACATATAAATCAACAGCTATGATGAAAACACAGAGAGAGGAAGATGACAGACATACAGAGTGTACAAAACATCAAGGACACTGCTCTTTCCATGACAGACTGACCAGGTGAAAGCTATGACCCCTTATGGACGTCACTTGTTAAATCCACTTCAAATCCGTTTAGATGAAGGGGAGGAGACAGGTTAAAGAAAGATTTTTAAGCCAATTGAGACATGGATTGTGGGCGTGTGCCATTCAGAGGGTGAACGGGCAAGACAAAATATTTAAGTGCCTTTGAACGGGGTATGGTAGTAGGTGCCAGGTGCACCAGTTTGAGTGTGTCAAGAACTGCAACGCTGCTGGGTTTTCCACGCTCAACTATTTCCTGTGTGTATCAAGAATGGTCCACCACCCAAAGGACATCCAGCAAACTTGACACAACTGTGGGAAGCTTTGGAGTCAACATGGGCCAGCATCCCTGTGGAACGCTTTCGACACCTTGTAGAGTCCATGCCCTGACGAATTGAGGCTGTTCTAAGATTCTGTACACTCAGCTTCTAGAAGAGAAGACCGACAGTAAGATCACATGGGACAAACCCAAGAGGAGAGAAAGCCAAGAAAATACAAAGAAAGCAACATTTCATTTCTGAATTCTTTGAATAATAGTTACAATTTCTGAGTGAGGTCAACATGACACTGTGGGGCAGTTGCTCTAAATGTCCATTTGGTGGCACCATTACACAAAGTTTAGCAAGTCAAATTTCAAGAGGGTCAGTGCTAAATACTGTCAGTCAGAATCAGATGTCTAGGCCTAATCAAATGTCAGCATATTTACGTAGAGTCCATGTAGTGTCCATGCCCCGACTAATTGAGTCTGTTCTGAGGGCAAAAGGGGCTGCAACTCAATATTAGGTGTTCCTAATGTTTTGTACACTCAGTGTATTATGTAATTCTGTTATTAGGCCCATAAAAATGTTTAGTGCATGTGTGCACACATAGAGGTTCTGTACCGGGAAGAAATTAAATCTACTTTTACCCTTGGTAAAACACCCACATCCACTTAGGCAAACCTTACAAACACAGCAACAGTAGCTACTACAGTACAGGACAGTCCAGTACAGAACTGTGTAACCAACATCAAGACACAAATAACAAAATCGCTTTGTCCTGCCACACACTAATTGAGGATACACATGCCAACACTCAAAAACACATACTGTATCTGCCTATCAACAAACAGAACACCACATGTGAGTCAGGGCATAGCCTACGTTCTGCACAGGTTAACTGTCTCGGTCCACTCTTGGTTGCTAGCAGCTATCCCTACAGTCTGTTAGGGGTGGGAGAGGGAGAAGGGAACGTTGCATGGAGTCGCTTTCCCTGACCCGACTTGACGCACAGGTCGGTCCAGGCTGAGGCTCCAAACAGGGCAGTGCATGTGTGTGCTAATCTGCATGTGAGAAGAGGGATTGTTGTGGACTGCAGAGTGGTAAGAGGCCTCTAATCCGATTAGATGACACTGTAGTGACAATCTCTAGGATGTGTCCTAAATGGCACCCTATTCCCCATTTAGTGCACTCCTTTTGACCAAGGCCCATAGGGCTCTGGTTAAAAGGTAGTGCACTATAAAGGGATAGGGCTCCATTTGGGACGTACACAAACTCTAGTCTACCATGTCATGACATGTCTGACTGTCTCATCTAAACAAGAGCACAAAACCTAAACATGACGATTAACGTTAGTTGCTTTAAGGTGGAGAACAATTCTTTCCACTGGAATGAGTCTGTCCGCTGCTAGGTCTAAATCTGCTCGCAGCAGCAGAGAAAGGCTAGTCTGTGGATGTGCAGCCGAGTGGAAAATAGGCCTAGAACGATAATCTAAAAGTAGACCTACCACAGGACTTCAGACAAATGTCACGCAATATGTATATTTTGGATTGTAGCATAACACTAATTGATGCACAAAATGTAAATACTTTGTGTTATCCTCAGAGATTTTCAATACAGCGTATACAGTCGTGGTCAAAAGTTTTGAGAATTACACAAGTAATGGTCTTCACAAAGTTCGCTACTTCAGTGTTATGAGATATTTTTGTCAGATGTTACTATGGTATACTGAAGTATAATGACAAGCATTCCATAAGTGTCAAAGGCTTTTAATGACAATTACATTAAGTTTATGCAAAGAGTCAATATTTGCAGTGTTGACCCTTCTTTTTCAAGACCTCTGCAATCTGCCCTGGCATGCTGTCAATTAACTTCTGGGCCACATCCTGACTGATGGCAGCCCATTCTTGCATAATCAATGCTTGGAGTTTGTCAGAATTTGTGGGTTTTTGTTTGTCCACCCGCCTCTTGAGGATCGACCACAAGTTCTCAATGGGATTATGGTCTGGGTTGTTTCCTGGCCATGGACCCAAAATGTCGATGTTTTGCTCCCCGAGCCACTTAGTTATCACTTTTGCCTTATCACGCTCCATCATGCTGGAAAAGGCATTGGTCGTCATCAAACTGTTCTTGGATGGTTGGGAGAAGTTGCTCTCGGAGGATGTGTTGGTACCATTCTTTATTCATGGCTGTGCTCTTAGGCAAAAATGTGAGTGAGCCCACTCCATTGGCTGAGAAGCAACCCCACACATGAATGGTCTCAGGATGCTTTACTGTTGGCATGACACAGAACTGATGCTAGCGCTCACCTTGTCTTCTCCGGACAAGGTGTTTTCCGGATGCCCCAAACAATCGTAAAGGGGATTCATCAGAGAAAATGACTTTACCCCAGTCCTCAGCAGTCCAATCCCTGTACCTTTTGCAGAATATCAGTCTGTCCCTGATGTTGTTCCTGGAGAGAAGTGGCTTCTTTGTTGCCCTTCTTGACACCAGGCCATCCTCCAAAAGACTTTGCCTCACTGTGCGTGCAGATGCACTCACACCTGCCTGCTGCCATTCCTGAGCAAGCTCTGCACTGGTGGTGCCCCAATCCCGCAGCAGAATCAACTTTAGGAGAACTTTAGGTCCTGGCGCTTGCTGGACTTTCTTGGGTGCCCTGACGCCTTCTTCACAACAATTGAACCGCTCTCTTTGAAGTTCTTGATGATCCGATAAATGGTTGATTTAGGTGCATCTTACTAGCAGCAATATCCTTGCCTGTGAAGCCCTTTATGTGCAAAGCAATGATGACGGAACGTGTTTCCTTGCAGGTAACCATGGTTAACAGATGAAGATCAATTATTTCAAGCAACACCCTCCTTTTAAAGTTTCCAGTCTGTCATTCTAACTCAATCAGCATGACAGAGTGATCTCCAGCCTTGTCCTCGTCAACACTCTCACCTGTGTTAACGAGATAATCACTGACATGATGACAGCTGGTCCTTTTGTGGCAGGGCTGAAATGCAGTGGAAATGCTTTTTTGGGGATTAAGTTCATTTTCATGGCAAAGAGGGACATTGCAATTAACTGCAATTCATCTGATCACTCATGACATTCTGGAGTATATGCAAATTGCCATCATCAAAACTGAGGCAGCAGACTTTGTGAAAATTTGTATTTGTGTCATTCTCAAAACCTTTGACCACGACTGTACATTTGAGGCTGAATTCTGTTTCTAATTTGTCAAATGAATCAATAAAAAACATTACTGTGCTTCTCCAACTCAGGAGGTCTAGATTGGTGTTATTCTCTGTGATTGTGAACAAAAATATAAACAAAAATATAAAACGCAACATGCAACAATTTCAACGATTTTACTGAGTTATGAGTTACAGTTAATAAAGAAATCAGACAATTAAAATAAATTAATCAGTCCCTAATCTATTGGATTTCGCATGACTGGGCAGGGGCGCAGCCATGGGTGGGCATAGGCCCACCCACTAGGGAGCCAGGCCCAGTCAGTCAGAATGAGTTTTTCCCCAAAAAAGGGTTTTATTACAGACAGAAATACTTCTGTTTCATCAGCTGTCCGGGTGGCTGGTCTCAGACGATCCTGCAGGTAAAGAAGCCAGATGTGGAGGTCCTGGGCTGGCGTGGTTACACGTGGTCATGGGTTGTGAGGCCGGTTGGACATACTGCCAAATTCTCTAAAACAACGTTGGAGGCGGCTTATGGTAGAGAAATTAACATTCAATTCTCTGGCAACCGCTCTGGTGGACATTCCTGCATGCCAATTGCACGTTCCCTCAAAACTTGAGACATCTGTGGCATTGTGTTGTGACAAAACTGCACATTTTAGAGTGGCCTTTTACAGTCTCCAGCACAAGGTGCACCCGTGTAATGATCATGCGGTTTAATCAGCCTCTTGATATGCCACACCTGTCAGGTGGATGGATTATCTTGGCAAAGAAGAAATGCTCACTAACAGGGATGTAAGCAAATAAGCTTTTTGTGCGTATGGAACATTACTGGGATCTTTTATTTCAGCTCATGAAACATGGGATCAACACTTTACATGTTGCGTTTATATTTTTGTTCAGTATAAAAGGACAGTATATAAATGACTGTACCTGCTGGCGAACATGACCCTCAGTGAAGAGAAGGTGGCAGCGTCCTCCTTCAGGGCCTTGAGCTCGTTCCTCAGCTTCACCATGGTCTCAGACACCATGCTCTTCTCGGTCTCATACTTGGTCTTCAGGTTGCTCAGAGCCAACTCTGCCGTCTGGAATAGAAACATTATGGCTCATTGTTAGAGCTGGGAAGAATACATCAAGTAAAAAACAAACTTCAAAGTTTACCTCTCATCTGTCAGTGCAACTTAACAAAAAATGACCATGATTGCGTAGATGGGGCAGTGTTAATTCTGGCATTCATTCAAATTTTTGTCATTTTAATAATGATTTAGTCTATTGTCAAAATCACAAAAACAGTGGGCCACTTTAGTCAACTAAATGCCCTTTCATTTTAGACACATCACATTTGTATTGCCTCATTAACCTATAGTAAACAGAAATCACTGACTGCCATGGTCACAAACATATAACCTTGTCCTACCAACATATTGTTCTGCAGAACACCCTATTCTCTTCACAACAGCAGAAATATGACAAACATATAAGAATTATCTGCCCATGAAAATTCCTAATTCAGCCTACATAGATATTGCACATTACATACAAACCAAACAGACACACACATGCGCAGAAAGAGAGCGCGAGAGTGAGAGCGAGACAGCGCCACAATCACCAGATGGTGCCGCAAAGTATTGGCAAAGTAGTACGGGTTGCACTAAACTTTGAGCCCGAATCAAGTCCAAAGTCCCCTGTGCTCGAATCCAAGTCTGAGTCATGAGCTGAGTTACGAGTCCCTATGGCTGAAGTCCGAGTCCCAGTGCTCGAGTCCTGGTCCAAGTGCTCAAGTCTGAGTCACTAGGTCCACATTAACTCAAAATAAAAGTGATTTACCCAGTCAGATATAGTGTAGAGCCAAGAGGAATTAACTCAATCAATTGTTTACTATCCCTTTTCTTTTCTTTCTGTGCCACCAAATGTTTGCATATAGGCTACTGGTAATGTTACCAGGGTCATGTTCAGTTGCATTTCGTTTTCGAACATCGCAGATAGAAATTCCATGAAACGAGCCGACGTTATTCCTTATTCAACATGTCAGAGAGGCATGTTTGTTCTACACAGAATATTTATATCTGAACGTTCCAAAACGTTGCGTCCTGCTGAACGCACCCCAGGTTGTTCGCTATAGCTTGCTAATGAAGTAACATGACGGAACAAGGTGTAGCCTAAACATATGGTTAACGTCTATGGGATCGGTGTCACGTATACGGGACGGTTGAGCTAACGTGCACTAATGTGATTAGCATGACTGTTGTAAGTAACAGAAAACCTTCCAGGACATAGACATGTCTTATATGCTATTGTTTGAGGAGAGTGCACAACAACAACAAAAAACTTAGCACGGCAACTGGTTTGATACATTCACCTCTGAAGGTAAATAAAGTACTTACATTCTGTAATCTTGCTCTGATTTGTCATCCTGAGGGTCCCAGAGATAAAACGTAGCATAGTTTTGTTTGATAAAATCAATTTTTATATTCAAAATGTAGGAACTGTGTTCTACAGTTTGAACCCTTGTTGTCTCTGGCACCACACCCACCCCGCCATCTAGATGTGTGAAAGTTAGTGTATAAGCTCATGATCCATTATGTATGACATTCCTGGGAGTGTGTAAACTTAGATTTTGTATTACCATATCATTTTTGTATGTTCTCTACAGTTATGTATTTTATATCAATTTATATATTGACCAATTCGGCACATTTGGGCAGACTTGATACAAAATAGTCCAGTATTTCAATGCTTCACTGGATCAATCTGAAACTTTGCACACACACTGCTGCCATCTAATGGCCAAAATCGAAATGCGCCTAAACTCCTATATGATATTATGGCCTTACTCTTGCATTTCAAAGATGATGGAACAACAACAAAAACACGTTTTTTTGTTTGTATTATCTTTTACCAGATCTAATGTGTTATATTCTCCTACATTAATTTTACATTTCCACAACTTAAGTGTTTCCTTTCAAATGGTATCAAGAATATGCATATCCTTGCTTCAGGTCCTGAGCTACAGGCAGTTAGATTTGGGTATGTCATTTTAGGCGAAAATTGAAAAAAAGGGTCCGATCCTTAATAGGTTAAACGGTCCGGTCCGCAAGTAGTCTAGTTTTAGAATGACCCGCGATATGCTTTATGAATGTAAAATCCAGCCAACCAATGCACAATAAAAAGAAAAAAAGTAGCGGCGGTATTAAGGGTCATATCTCTTGAACGGTAAGGGTTAGAATCAATCCGTTTTCTCTGAGGAAAAGAGGGAGACTTGGATACAGAATCTGGCTATGAAATGCAGTGGGGGAAAGTGGGAGGGTTGAACGAGACTACAAATTCAAGCATAGAAAAGTAGGCAGAGAAAAACATTACATTTTTATTAAAACATCTGAAAGTATTCAGACCCCTTGACTTTTTCCACATTTGGTTACAGCCTTATTCTAAAATGGTTTAAATTACCTTTTTCCCCCTCATCAATCTACACACAATACCCCATAATGACAAAGCGAAAACAGGTTTAGAAATGTTTGCAAATGTATTACAAATGAAACAGAAATACCTTATTTACATAAGTATTCAGACCCTTTGCTATGAGACTCGAAATTGAGCTCAGGTGCACCCTGTTTCCATTGATTATCCTTGAGATGTTTCTACAACTTAATTTGAGTCCACCTGTGGTAAATTCAATTGATTGGACATGATTTGGAAAGGCATACACCTGCCTATACAGTGAAGGAAAAAAGTATTTGATCCCCTGCTGATATTGTACGTTTGCCCACTGACAAAGAAATTATCAGTCTATAATTTTAATGGTAGGTTTATTTGAACAGTGAGAGACAGAATAACAACAAAAAAATCCAGAAAAACGCATGTCAAAAATGTTATAAATTGATTTACATTTTAATGAGGGAAATAAGTATTTGACCCCCTCTTAATCAGAAAAATTTCTGGCTCCCAGGTGTCTTTTATACAGGTAACGAGCTGAGATTAGGAGCACACTCTTAAAGGGAGTGCTCCTAATCTCAGCTTGTTACCTGTATAAAAGACACCTGTCCACAGAAGCAAATCAATAAATCAGATTCCAAACTCTCCACCATGGCCAAGACCAAAGAGCTTGTCAGGGACAAGATTGTAGACCTACACAAGGCTGGAATGGGCTACAAGACCATCGCCAAGCAGCTTGGTGAGAAGGTGACAACAGTTGGTGCAATTATTCGCAAATGGAAGAAACACAAAATAACTGTCAATCTCCCTCGGCCTGTGGCTCCATGCAAGATCTCACCTCGTGGAGTTGCAATGATCATGAGAACGGTGAGGAATCAGCCCAGAACTACACGGGAGGATCTTGTCAATGATTTCAAGGCAGCTGGGACCATAGTCACCAAGAAAACAATTGGTAACACACTATGCAGTGAAGGACTGAAATCCTGCAGCGCCCGCAAGGTCCCCCTGCTCAAGAAAGCACATATACAGGGCCATCTGAAGTTTGCCAATGAACATCTGAATGATTCAGAGGAGAACTGGGTGAAAGTGTTGTGGTCAGATGAGACCAAAATGGAGCTCTTTGGCATCAACTCCACTCGCCGTGTTTGGAGGAGGAGGAATGCTGCCTATGACCCCAAGAACACCATCCCCACCGTCAAACATGGAGGTGGAAACATTATGCTTTGGGGGTGTTTTTCTGCTAAGGGGACAGGACAACTTCACCGCATCAAAGGGACGATGGACGGGGCCATGTACCGTCAAATCTTGGGTGAGAACCTCCTTCCCTCAGCCAGGGCATTGAAAATGGGTCGTGGATGGGTATTCCAGCATGACAATGACACAAAACACACGGCCAAGGCAACAAAGGAGTTGCTCAAGAAGAAGCACATTAAGGTCCTGGAGTGGCCTAGCCAGTCTCCAGACCTTAATCCCATAGAAAATATGTGGAGGGAGCTGAAGGTTCGAGTTGCCAAACAGCAGCCTCGAAACCTTAATGACTTAGAGAAGATCTGCAAAGAGAAGTGGGACAAAATCCCTCCTGAGATGTGTGCAAACCTGGTGGCCAACTACAAGAAATGTCTGACCTCTGATTGCCAACAAGGGTTTTGCCACCAAGTACTAAGTCATGTTTTGCAGAGGGGTGAAATACTTATTTCCCTCATTAAAATGCAAATCAATTTAACATTTTTTACATGCGTTTTCTGTTTTTTTTGTTTGTTATTCTGTCTCTCACTGTTCAAATAAACCTACCATTAAAATTATAGACTGATCATGTCTTTGTCAGTGGGCAAACGTACAAAATCAGCAGGGGATCAAATACTTTTTTCCCTCACTGTATAAGGTCCCACAGTTGACAGTGCATTTCAGAGCGAAAACCAAGCCATGAAGTCGAAGGAATTGTCCATATTGTCCACATTTCTGGGGAATGGTACCAAAACGTTTCTGCAGCATTGAAGGTCCCCAAGAACACAGTGGGCTCCATCATTCTTAAATGGAAGTCGTTTGGAACCACCAAGACTTTTCCTAGAGCTGGCCGCCCGGCCAAACTGAGCAATCAGGGGAGAAGGGCCTTGGTCAGGGAGGTGACGAAGAACCCGATGGTCACTCTGATAGAGCTCCAGAGTTCCTCTGTGGAGATGGGAGAACCTTTCAGAAGGACAACCATCTCTGCAGCACTCCACCAATCAGGCCTTTATGGTAGCGTGGCCAGATGGAAGCCACTCCTCAGTAAAAGGCACATGACAGCCCGCTTGGAGTTTGCCAAAAGGCACCTAAAGGACTCTCAGACCATGAGAAACAAGATTCTCTGGTCTGATGAAACCAAGATTGAACTCTTTGGCCTGAATGCCAAGTGTCACGTCTGGAGGAAACCTGGCACCATACCTACGGTGAAGCATGGATGTGGCAGCATCATGCTGTGGGGATGTTTTTCAGCGGCAGGGACTGGGAGACTAGTCAGGATTGAGGGAAAGATGAACGGAGCAAAGTACAGAGAGATCCTTGATGAGAACCTGCTCCAGAGCGCTCAGGACCTCAGACTGGGGCGAAGGTTCACCTTCCAACAGGACAATGACCCTAAGCACACAGCCAAGACAATGCAGGAGTGGCTTCGGGACAAGTCTTTGAA